ATACATCCATCCATTCCAAGGGTAAAAAATTGCACAAAGGAGGATGAACTCTTAATGTATCCAGTTTGCTTATGCTTTTGCTGGGTAAAAACAACCTTAAAGATGGGGGTATTGTACACATTTGCCATATAAGCATACTTTTTTCTCTCTCTCTGGATAGACAAGTCATTGTGAAGTAAATGCCCCCTGTATCCCTGTTGAGGAAATCAGACTCTGTTTAGGATTTCTTACACACTTTGGGGAGAAGGGTTAAATGTAGTTTTCATGGGTAGAGCTGTGTTGCTTGTCAGTGGGGAGGAGAGGGGGATGAAGGGGTGAGAAGCCAAGATTCCTAACATATAGCCTAGCCCTGCAAAGAGCATGGGGATTAAGTGGTCAAAGCAGTGGGAGCCAGGACTCCTCGATTGTAGTCTGTGGCTTTTCACAGCCTTGATGGTTTGACCTCTGCCACTTCTTATTCCCAGTGGTTCTTTAAAGAGCATGAAACCTTTTTGCCTTCCAGCTTGTTTTAGGACAGGCTGATGCAAAACCAGATTTTTGAGGGCTAATTTCCTGGTTTGTGTGTTGCCCCATATGTATATGAAAAGGGGGTATGATAGCTTATTCTTGTGGCTCGCTGCACTCGTCTGGTACTGAAATCCTTGAATGGCCTGCTTTGGTCTCAGATTCTTCTAGCTTTTGGAGATAAGGTCCCAAGCAGAGGCTGAGCACCTCTGGTATAGATAAAGCCCTTTGTGGCTTGCCTGGGCATTGAGGAGCCAATGTGCATTGCAGTGTTGGCTGCAGAGATTGTAGGCAGGGATGTAAGCAGGATGCTTTTTGAGTGCAAAGGGGTTTGCGAATGCATTCCGTGGCTTTACAGTCTGGGAAGGAGGAAACAGTAGGAAATTGTGGGATTTCGTTGTCTCAGGAATGCAGTCTGCTGAAGTCCTTGCAGGCTATATGTGTTGAGTGCTGTAAGATGACGTGCATATTCACACGCTGAGTGCTAGGTATTTCTCTTTGAAAGCATTCAGGTGAAGGCTGTGTTTTTAACATTTGGAATTTTGTAGGAGTGCATAGAGATCTCTGCCTTGGTCAGATCCTGGAAAGGTTTGTGTGCATGTGTACACATGTGAGTGTATTGGGAATGCTTTTAGTACAATTAGTAGCTTTATTCTGTGTGTGTGTGTGTGAGAGAGAGAAAGAGAGTGGGGTGGAGGGTCCTATGTATCTTTTGTAGTTTCTGGAAGCATATTTGCACTCAGGAATGATCAGTGTGTGACCTGTGCTGTAAGTGTAGCCAATCTTAAAGGGAATGGTGAAAGCCTTAGGTTCCTTTAGGGGATGGGAATGTTGTAAGGCAGCTTGTGTATCGGAGGTTGCTGTAGTCCTGTTTCTGGCTCTGCCTGCCAACAGAGTAAGGGGCGGCAAGGGAGTGAGGTGGGGGAGGCTTTGTCTGGGACTGATCTGTGTGCTGGGCACGCACTCTGTTACAAGTGGGTCTCTAGAAAATGGCTGAGAGTGAGGGAATCGGCTGGGCCCCAGCTCCTTCCATCTTCTCTCTGCTTGGAGAGGAGAGGGGAGGGGGGAGGGTTTCCAGCCTGTATCCTCCTGCTCCACAGCTGCATTTCTCTTGCTAAATAGGGCCAGAGCTCTAGTATCTCCTTTTGAGCCCAAAGGGGGTATTTTTTGGAGGGGGGACGGAAAGATGATAGCTGTTTCTGTAACTGGGAATCTTTCACAGGGCCCTCAAACACCCCACTTCTAGGGCAGCTGGCAGAGGTGGGTGCCTATGATTTCTTTCCCCCATCCTGGCCCCTTCAGGAAATGTGCTTTGCTTGGCTTGGGTAATTTACTAATTGGCTCCTCCTTCTGCCCCACTCAGAGTGACACATTGGTAGGATGACCGCAAGCTGCAGACTTCCCTTCTCTCTACATTGGTTT